TTTTTGCAAAAAAATACATTTTGAAGTAGTGATTTGATGAAAAATATGTGGTTGAAAATAAGAGAGAAAAAGATATATTTTAAAAATAATATGAATCAAACAAGGGCCTAGATTTTAATTTTTACAAAACATGGGCTTAGTAATTGGTTGAAACGGCGAGACAAAAAAACACATAGATATTCTAATTCAGTGAGAAGTTCGAATTTACACTAGAATTAGATATTACTAGATTTAATTTCTAAATTTTGAAAATTTTCTCAAGGGGTGATGTTTGATGCACCGCATTAGACTGGACAAGAATTTAATGTAAATTATAATGAATACCACAAGGTAGAAGGTATTGTGGCTCATACGTGAATATTAATCTCTAAATTTTCATTTTAAAAAGAAGTCACTTACCATCTCTTTTTTAATCCAGCTTAGACTTGTCTTCAACTTTCGTATTATATTACACAGTTAATGGTGTAAATGATTATATTTTGAATGAAAAATTAAAATATAATATCTACATTAATCCACCATAATACTATCTTACTAATCCATCATAATTTTATATTAAATTATTTTTACGATTTTATTAACCCTCAAAGTTCTTTTTGCAAGGGTAGACGATTAAGGTGCATTCCATCAACTAGTTACTGCAATGGTACAAAACTGCTCAAATGGTGACTAGACATGCTATTTTGCACTCGAAAGACAAGATTCCACGGATAAACTATCCACGTAAAGGAAAAAAAATATTGTTTATTCCTCTGGCCGTTACATATCTGCTTTTTAATATCAAACTACAAGTGAAATTACAAATAACATCATATACCAAGCATACACAACTGTCGTTTGAAGTAATATAATGCTTAGGCACTACTTGGTGAGTAAACGTATTGTTGGGGCGTTATGACTTCTATTAGCTCTGAAATTAATACAGAGTTTATTGGAAGCACACATTACACTAGCAGAGTTGGAAATGAAGAAGAAACAAATATAAATCAACAAGAAGAAATCAAAGAACAGATATCGAACATGAAGAATGACCTCCACAGCCTTTATTATTCACACAAGACTTTACATGATCTATATACAATAAGAGATCATCAGAAAGAATTTGCTACAGATTTTTCAAGAGTTTCACTCTATCTCACTTTCTATCTACTTTGTCTACATAATTCTAACCCTTTCTTTCTCTCTCAAGCTCTCTTTTCTTCACTGCCTAATGCTGCTATTTATAGACACAAAAGGGCATCAAATCGGTTATTAACTACCTAATTACTCAAATGAATAGGCTCCCACTGCTAAAGATTCTAATTGCAAATGATAGTTGAAGAAACCAGTAACAAAAAGCTCATCTTGCAACAGAATTTATCCAATGGCTAAGGTATCTAAAATCTGAATCCAAGGAATCAGCTTTTTACACTTATCTATAGCCAGGCTTATGTTTACCATCCTACAAATTGTAGAAATTTGATTCGTGTAAAGCCATAAGCCCGTATTTAGCTGGAACGACTCTTAATAACTTCGAGATCCATTTCAGTTGGATCAGTTGCTTGTAACTCCACTTAAATTCCATCTAGCTCCCTCTTAAATCTGTCTTTTAAGCTAGCATAAATCATCTTGCTTTTGACCCTTGCAGAATCAGGAAACTGTTAATTGTATTGGGCTGCCTCACTATACTTTAGGTTGTGCCTTGTTTGCTGTTTGGACCGTTAAGTGAAACGGGTTGTGGCTTCAATGAATTAATGTTATCAGCCGTACACATGGCTGATACTCTGCCCTTGGATGCTAATTGTTTATATTACTTGGTTGACATGGCTCTTTAGGTGATTGACATTCAAGAGTATTCCATTCTCTCTTCGTCTCTCGTTTTCCCTTTTCTCTCAGAGTGAAAGTTTAGGGTTCTTCTACTTTGTAACCGTAATCGATCTTAATTATTCTTCAATCTTGTTTCTTTTTAAATGTCTGTATATTGTGTATAGTCTAGGGGTTGATCTTGTATGGTTACGGTTCTGTATTTGAGGCGAGATTAAACTGAAGAAACCTTTGGTTTCTTTGAATATTTGTATTGATTCTTGTTTGATTCTTAGTGGATCTAGAGCTATATTCTTTGTGGATATTCAACGGGTGATTAGGTCTTTGTGACTGAATATCCGGACCCTATGGGGTGAAAAATTGCGTGTTCAATGTTTGTTTATGATTCTGCTTCTTATTTTATGGTTTGTGAACTTTGATATTTTAGTATTGTTGATTTGGGGCCTTACAAGTGTTATTAGAGTCTTGTCTCTATGTTAGGGTACGATAGGGTCTCTGTTTTAGTTTTCTTGGTGTAGATCTGAGGTTCTTGGGGTAGACGAGTAGTTCTTTGTGAGAGAAATTGTTTTTCTTTTTCACTCATCTTAACTCGCTATTAATCCTAGTTAACCTTGTATTCGAGTTGGAGTAAATCATTCCGATTCCTGGTTGAGTCTATGACTCACTTCTGAGTTCTACTGAGTCTTGGTGACTCGCTGCTTTCTTGCCTTCGTTCTGGACTCATTGGTGTGACTCTGGTATTCTCCCCATGCTCTCTTCCTTCTGAAACATTGAGGTTTCAGATTCTGGTACCGTTTCTAAACCCCCTCTTTATTTTTGATAGCATTGTTAAGTTCTTGAAACTGGTATTAAGGTAAGCAATTCTCCATTGCTTTCCTTTATCTAAGACCTCAAGTAAGGGTCTGGGAATCTGAGGGAGCAGTGGGTTCAAGGGTTGCCAACCCTTAAACCTCTTTCAAAATTGTAATTGTATTATTCTGAATTGTGATTACTTGATCTGTGAATTGCATTGATAAGTATATTATCTGTCATCATGTCCACTGCACATAAGTTTGAGCTTGAGATATGGAATGTTACTGGAGATTTCAGTCTCTGACGCCAGAAGATGATGGCTCTTTTACTTCAACAAATGTGTGTTATAGCCTTAATGGTCGATGGGCTATAGGAGGCAAGAATTAGATGATACTGCATTGAGTTCAATTTTATTGCATCTACCTATTAATGGGATTAGGAAAGTTGGTGAAACTAACTTTGCTCAGGCCTTATGGAATAAGCTAGAATCACTTTATCTGACTAAGACTATGCTTAATAAATGTTATCTCCTGAGGCTGTTCTATAACTTTAGATTTGATCCCTCATCTGATTTGGAAGAAAACATTGACAAATTCACAAAACTAATTTAGGATTTAGAAAATTATGATGAAACACTTTCTGATGATCAACAAGTTGTTGCACTTCTAAACTCATTTAGTGATAAATACAAAGACATAAGAACTACTTTAGAATATGGGGGCATGATCTTACTGTTGATATAACAACTTCAGCCCTAAGAAATAAAGAACTTGAGCTGAAAACTGAATCTAAAGATTCCAAGTATGGGGAAGGGTTGCATATAAAGGAGAAATGGAATCCTAATAAGAAGCAACCTACGTACAGTTTCAATCCTCATAAGAAAGCTAAATCTTAGAAATTCAGATTCAAAGAGAAGAATAAAAGTCATATGAAATCCAAGAATCAGATCATAAAATGTAACTACTGTGGAAAATCAGGTCATTTAATCAAAGACTGTTTCAAGAAAATATCTGATATGAAAGATAAGAATAACTTGGAATATTCTACAGCCTTGGTCTGCAAGAATGAACCTGACATTCAAGGAATAGTCCTTGTGAATACCACTAAAAGAGATAAAAAAGATGGGTTATTGATTCTAGCTGTACTTTTCATATGTATCACAACAAGGAATGTTTCTCTGAATTTGTTGAACTTAGTGAAGGGCAAATTCAAATGGAAAATGACATGAGTTGTCAAATAAAGGGAATTGAAAAGATCAAACTATTGATGAATAACTACATCCTTGATTTTGAAAAATGCAGATATGTTCTTGAACTTAAAAGGAATTTGATTTCTTTGGGTCAATTAGATGACAAATACAATATCATGATTCATGAAGGTATTTTAAGACTCAAACAACGAAGTAAAACTGTTATATCCTCTCTAAAATTAAATGGGATCTACACTGTCTCTGCTGATCTTGTGGTTCATCACTATATTACAGCCTTAAACATTGAGTCTAATAAGTCTTTAATTTGGCATCAAAGGCTTGCTCACATTTTTGAAAAGGGACTTACCATTTTGAATAATCTTGGTTGTTTTGGTAAAGACAAACTCAAAAAGTTAGATTTTTGTGAAAATTGTTTTTGGAAAACTGAAAAGATTTCCTTTCAAAATTGGAACACATAAATCCACTTCAATTTTTGATTATCTACATACTGACCTTTGGGATCCAATATTTGTAAATACTCTAAGTGGATTCAGGTTCTACTTATAGTTAATGATTTTTCAAGAAAAATATGGACTTTTCTGTTAAAACATAAATCAGACACTTTTAAGACTT